TTCTGATATAATTCCTGTCAGTCCACGCTTGTTCATAACAGGGCAGTATAGTGCAATATGTTTACATAACGCATTAGGCTGTATGGAGCTACGGACCCACGTTATGTATAAAAGTTATAAAAAAGTTGTATACAAGCATAAATGTCCTGTTTTAATTTCAGAAAGATTCTAAATAGAAGCATGAATGTCCTTGAAGAGCTGAACATTCTGATACCTGAAATAGCTGAAAGTGTGCTGAAGCAGAATTTCGCCATTCATTTTTCACCGACGTTTTGTTTCAGCGGATTTTCTGTATTGACCGTAAGTCTATGGAGCAGTGAGACAGTATGCCTGGAATGTGCGACTTACGCAAATACCATTCATCCCATCTCAGTAACACTGACAGCTGAATTCGTGACAATTGTCTCTACGATTGTCATCTATTATATGTGTATAAAGCTTAAGAACGGCATAATAGGAGCAAAAGCAATGAGGAAGAGGAGAAGCATAGAGAAAGCTGCTAGACCGGGGGTCACATGACGCACAGCTGCCAATGGCATTGCAGAGTATTGGCCCATTCGTTGTCTATGGACAAATAGACAAAATATAAATGTCGATTATAAAAAAAACCATAAACGATATCAAGATGATTTTTGCACCAATGGTGGCTGAATGTCTCATGAGTTGAATAAAGTTGAAATGGCGTTTCTAGCCCCAGGTATGCCAGAGATATTAAGCTTCAAACTTTGCCCCATTCATTTCCAATGGGGAAATTTCTGTAAAAAAAGCTGAATATCTTAAAAAGTATAAAAGTTATAAAAAAGTTGTATACAAGCACACATGTCCTTAAGGAGATACCTCAATGGCCCTTCTAGGTGAAAGTATGTGGAAGTAGTTAGGTGCAGAAGAAAACCAGAATAATAAAGAACGCATCCACACAATAAATAACAGGAATCAGCATCCATACAATAATAATAATAATAATAATAATAATAAATAATAGGATAACATAGTATGGATGCTGAATCAGCATCCATACAATAACAGGAGTGTAAAAAATAAAAGTAGGGGAGGAAAGCAGAGAGGGCAAAACTCTGAAAAGCAACATTTTGGTTTTGTCTCAACAGAAGAGCTGTCAAAGCTTTAATGTGAGGCAAACTGGGCTATGTGACGAAGAAGATTAGTGGGTGGTGGTCCCTTTTCAAGGCTGCACCCAAGAAATGAACAAAGGGAGGGATGAGAAGATGAGAGATAAGAAAAGTGTGTTTGTTTAAAGGACTGTGGCTTTATCCATGTATCGTGAGTCCAGTCCTGGGTGATAGCAAAGATGTTGCTTGATTTATGAGATGAGGGCTAGCGAGAGTACAAAAGAAGTTTGTGTTTTGTGTGAGCACATGGATGAAGGTAAAAAAAAGTGCCTGATCAGGCATAACTGGATTGCAGCCAGCTCATTGGGCAACTACAGTGTAACATCAGCTTTTGAAGTGTTTAAATGTTCACGAGCATTAGCAAAACCATAGCAACATTATTCTTCCTCCAGCTATCCCTTTATGAAGGGAGATGCAGCTGAAAAGCAGTGACAAAAATGATGAGCTGGACCGGGGAGTTGGTGGTTACACTGTGAACAGGTCTGCAGTTTGTGCAATTACACTATGCAATAGAAACCGACTGAGCTGAAACTGAGTTCAACTCATTTTAGAGGAATTTCTAAAAATCCCTCCCTAAACTGACATTGATAGGTCACTAGACATTTTAGCATGGATTAACTTGATCTCTTGCTAAATTAAAGCTGCCTCTAAGTCTAAGAAAAATCCAGCTACACCCTAAAAATAAACATTTTTGTGGCTGAATATCAATTACAAATGGGCTTATCACCTTGTTGCAAATATTGGCATGGGTCTGAAATTAACACTGTCACATAAGCGCTCACAGAAATGTAGCTGTACATGCAGAATCAGGTCAGGAGTATAGCATGAAGGCCTTCGGCTGAAACGCCAACATCCTTCAGCACCTGCAATTGTTTTGGAGGGAGGACAGGGTGTGATGTCAGCCCTTCCTGTGGCAGTGAGCCTCTGATGTCACTTCCACATGGTTTGAGGTAAAAAGGAGTTCACGGTAGCCCCTCCAATGCCCAACAGTGCCATAAAGCTCCTACCGGCTCTTTGGTCGTGAGGTTATTTTTTGTACTTGAAGGTCTCTCCCTCTGTTGGCATTGTCTTCGTGTAATATCATAGTTCCTGCCTTAGTTGGATATCCACCATGTGTAGTGCCTGTTTCCTTGTGCTCTGTGCTTCACAATGAGACAAAGCCTGGTACTAAACTGTGTACAGATGTCAATGAGACATTTCTTAACTTGGCCTGAATCACATCAGCTGAGGTCAAAATAAGCAGCAAGCAGTCAAACAATTGACAAAATTTTTGGACAATGCAGAAAAGTGGAACATGTTTCGGAACACTGTGGGAACCATGGCAGGAAGATGTGGTGTATATATTTGCATAATTCAGTGCAATTATAATGAGTCCAATGACTGTGCTTCCGGTCTCACCTCGGTCCCAACTGGGGTGCTCGCTGGGGTGCTCTTCATCTGGCAGGGTGCTGTCACAGTCAGCCACATCCACCAGGCTGCCTTCCTCCTCCGCAATGTGCAGCTTGTCCTCGTCATCTGAGTCTGAGATGGCCTCCACCACATTGTTATAGTTCGTCACTGTGCAAGAAAACACCAGTGACATGGGTTAGAATGACATCTGATTGTGTCTACTCTTTAACTAGCCATTACAGGAAAGTGAAGAGGCTACTCATATTTTAGTATTTTTTTATCATGTATTTAGATAAGAGGAGGTATATTCTGTGTGTGCTTCCTTATTATGAATACTGAATGTAAAAGGCCATGTGTTGGAGACATTAAATATAAACTTCAAAACTATTAAAGGGGATGGTAACACTTCTAAAGGGATGCTAGAAGGAAACAGATTAAATAAACCACGGTCCAACTTCATTAGCTTAGATAAGACTTTATATGATCCCCATGGAGAAAGTTGTTTTAAAGCCGGAGAAAATAGGACATCTAAACAAGAAAAACAACTGAATTGATACTATTAAAAAATAATGCTTAATTCTGATGTTGCACTGTAGTAAAAGCATGCCACTGAAGACATGAGAAAGGTACGACTCTAAAGTGAAAACTAACAGGCTCCATGTCACAGAGAAACAATATCAGTGTGTCAGACCACTGGATTGCAGGTTGAAGTGGTGTGTGTGCTGTGTGGGAGTCTGTGTGACTTGGTCGGTTGTGTTATGGGCTGAAGGATCCAGAAGACAGAGACAGCAGCATACAGATAGAGTTATTATGAGGAGTACATTTTCCTGCTTCAGATGGGTTTGTATGTGCATTCTTTTCATTTTCAACAGCTCCACTGAGAGAGCTACAGATCCTCTCGAAGGCCAAATCGATTCTGAGAGCAGTCAGCAGAGGGCCTGGGCTGCAGCATTGAGACTACCTCTCCAGCTACTTCATCTCACATCACACACATTACACACAGTGATTGCACATACATACACCACCTGCATTCACTCACTGAATATGGACTGCCAGTACAGAGCACCTGAACATCTTCACTCAGCCCCAACTGCACTCACCCACCTATTTCTGAAGTGGCTGCTAATGTTTTTTAGCAGGAGGAGGTGGGAGAATCATGCTCCTCCATTTCAATCAGTGAGAGCTGCACTGGTGAGGTCTCTCCCTTTCTCTCTGCAGTGTGCAGGTCATTACAACTAGCTAATAGTCACACAGACTACAGGGATGCAAGGTTCAGGCTGAGGGGGAGTTATGAGGAAGGAGGCGTGGGGTGAAGGGATGAAGGGTGGTGGTGGAGGAGGAGGAGGGAGAAGCAATGTTATTTGGCAAGTCATTTGCATGTTCAGTGCCTCTGTGGCATAGCTGTGAAATCTTGTCGGGTTTATTCACAGGAACTAGTTCATTCTCCATCTCTTTCCTCTCTTCACACTATTCCTCTCTCTACAATGTTTTTTCCTTAATCATGATGTTATTGCCACAACATTCAGCTCAGTCAGCAGGTGATGCACATCCATTTACCATTACCTATACTGCTATCCACACTACATGCTATAATCTGTTTAAGGATTTTAACAGGCACCTTACACTACCTCTCACTCCCTACCTTATTTATTCTGTCAGGGCAACTCTGCCAGGTGATGTTTTGTCCATTCAGCAGCCAAAACAGGGTGTAACACTTAATTCTGAAACAGAAGGATGATTCTGTTTGGAGCCACTCAGATGTAGAGCTGAGGTCAGCAATTAAAAAGGCAATACTCTCCACCAGCAGTGTTGAGAGAAAATGATCAACTATAAAGCTGTAGAGCCAAAAATCAATGTGCTGGTGTGCAGCGAGGAGGTGGCAACCGTGAGTGGGACATTATAAGTGGGGACTGTGAAGTACAGCAAAGGAGGTGAGAGAAAGAGTAAACAATGGAGGGTGGTGTGGTGGGTCAACAGAGATGGTCTTCCTATGCCAAATGGTTAGTGGTGTTGAAACTAAAGTCTCTGTTCCAACAGGACATATAACACCTAGCACCAGCAAAGGCTGCAGTCCCTTCTGGCTGAGCGTTTGGTCAGCTGGCCTCATTAGTGCTTGCATGCTAGCACACAACAAGAGGACAACTCCTACGCATCTGTGAAAGAAACCATTGCTTCTGAAAGTTTGCTTTCCTGCACAGGTGTAGTGTGTTGAACACCTGAGACAATAATAGCTTGTAATTGTAGCTTCAGCTTTAATTTAGTCCATAACCACTAAAACACACCATGTTTTACAGATCTGGGTGGTAGGTGACAATCCATGCAGGTTCAGTAGCCTCACACCACTGTAAAACATGATACAATAATTTAGTGGAAAGAACTAAGGTTTTCTTGTTAAAATAGTGCAGATATGTAAGTTTTGGTGATTTCAAGCCAATGCAACTTTGAAAGTCTAGTTCTAATTTTCAGAATTTAAAAACATAAGTTGTTCTGGCTTGAGGTCTTTTAATTTGAAATGATGGGCTGAAGGACTGAACTGCTGAGAGTTGAGTCAACTCATTAAATTAAATTTTAAAGAAAAAAAATTAGGAGACTTCCCAGCATGCCTTGCTGGAGTGTTCAATCTCTAGAGAAACTCTTCTTTATTGTATTTTGAAGAGCCCATTCATGGTGGAAACTTTATTTCGTTATCCTGGCATTTATTGTGTGGATGATGTGAAGCATCCAAAGTATGTTATCCTATTCTTTGTTAGTGTGGATGCTATGAAGCCACACTATTGTTCTCCAAATCGTATTTATTATTGTGTGGATGCTGTGAAGCATCCACACAATAATGGACGGATGGATGGATAAATAATTGGATAACATAGTATGGGTGCTGATTCAGCATCAAAACTATTTTATCCAATTATTTATTATTATTATTGTATGGCTGCTGAGTCAGCATTCATACCATGTTTTCCTGGTCTTTCTTATTGTATGGATGCTGAGTCAGCATTCATACCATGTTTTCCTGGTCTTTCTTATTGTATGGATGCTAAGTCAGCTTCTATACCTTGTTTTCCTCCATCCATCCATCATCCATCCATTTTCCTCTGCTTATCCGGAACCGGGTCGCGGGGGCAGCAGTCTAAGCAAAGACGTCCAGACCTCCCTCTCTCCAGACACTTTCTCCAGCTCCTCCAGGAGAATGTCGAAGCGTTCCCAGGCCAGCCGAGAGACATAGTCCCTCCAGCGTGTCCTGGGTCTTCCCCGAGGCCTCCTCCTGGTGGGACATGCCCCGGAACACCTCCCTAGGAAGGCATCCAGGAGGCATCTAAAACAGATGCCTGAGCCACCTCAGTTGGCTCCTCTCAATGTGGAGGAGCAGCGGTTATACTCTGAGCTCCTCCCGGGTGACCAAGCTCCTCACCCTATCTCTAAGGGTGCGCCCGGCCACCCTGCAGAGGAAGCTCATTTCAGCCGCCTGTATCTGGGATCTTGCCCTTTCGGTCATGACCCAAAGCTCATGACCATAGGTGAGAGTCAGAACGTAGATCGACTAGTAAATCGAGAGCGTCGCCTTACAGCTCAGCTCCTTCTTCACCACAACGGACCGGTACACCAACCGCATTACTGCAGAAGCTGCATTGATCCGCCTGTCAATTTCCCGTTCCATGCTTCCCTCACTCGTGAACAAGACCCCAAGATACTTGAACTCCTCCACTTGGGGCAGGAACTCCCCACCAAACTGAAGGGAACAAGCCACCCTTTTCTGACTGAAAACCATGGCCTCGGACTTGGAGGTGCTGATTCTCCTTGTTTTCCTGTTCTTTATTATTGTATGGATGTTGAGTCAGTATCCATACCATGTTTTCCTGGTCTTTATGGATTCATACCTTGTTGTATGGATGCTGATTCAGCATCTATACTATGTTATCCAAAAAATGTATGGATACTGAGTCAGCATCCATACCTTGTTTTCCTGGTCTTTACTATTATTGTATGGATGCTGAGTCAGCATCCATATCTTCTTTTCCTGGTCTTTATTGTATGGATGCTGACTCATCATTCATACCTTTTTTTTTGGATGCTGATTCAGCATCTATACTATGTTATCCAAAAAATGTATGGATACTGAGTCAGCATCCATACCTTGTTTTCCTGGGGCCTATTTCAAGAAGGCGGTTTTGTCGAAACTCAGAGTTTGTTAACCCCGAAATGAGGGCAACTCGGAGTTTTCGGTTTCAGAAACGGAGGTAACTTAAACCCGTGAAGCGGGGTAAGTTAAACCCGTTTCACAAAGAGAGGTAATCTAAACTCAGAGTCAGTTACTATGGCAAATTACTCTGTGACCCTAACCTGCTGGCGAGCAGGTTTTGTTCAGGAAACTCAGAGTTTCCTCTGGGTCTCCACCCCTTTTTAAAGTGAAAGGTGTTTAATACCTCATTTAATCTTTCAGTACATTCATAGATTGCACACGTTTCCGTCACGCAGAGACCAAAATGGCGTGTCCATTCATAGAGGATCCTGTAG